CTGGAAGGTCGGGCATAATTTCCAGTTCCGTGCAGTAACTCGCTTCCAGATTAAGCAAACTTGTTGGCAAATCTGGGATTGCCTGAAGGTTTGTGCAATGATTTAGATACAAAGATGTAAGCTGGGAAAGGCCACTGAGGATGGGTAGCCTATTAAAACCATTTCCATCTAGTACTAAAATCCTTAAAGAAGATAGACTCCGAAGGCTTTCAAGAACGGCATCATCCGTTATATTGCAGTCATCAAGACCTAAATGCTGAAGCATCTTCAGTTGTGCTAATAAATGGTAACCCCCAGACACACTCTTACAGCCACTGAGGGCCAATTCCTCGAGATGTGGGAGTTTTGAAAAGTCTGGTAATTGAGTCAGGTTACAGGAATGATCGAGATAAAGAAACTTCAACTTCTTCGGCAACTGTTTGGCAAAAAGATAGAACAAAAATCATAATCCATATTAGAGAGAGAGAGAGAGAGAGAGAGAGAGAGAGAGAGAGAGAGAGAGCTAGAATGATTGTCGACTGATGTTGGTATTTACAAAACACGGACGAGGAAAGGATTAATAATTTGGTTGAGGTTATGACAATTATATGTATTGTACCAGATCGGAATCCTCCCAAACTCGGACAAGCTTGCTGTAGCTCAACTCAATAAGAACTAAGTTTCGTAAATCAAAATCTTCGGGTATGACCTCTAGAGGAAATCCATGCCAACACAAAGATCTTAACTCCTTGGAAAGATGACGGTAGCCTCCAGTGAGCTTTACATTTTCGAGTTGGAGAAATTTCAGATGCCGCATCTTCTTAAATGCTTTTGTGCGGAAGGGATGCTCGTCAGAATTTTCTGGCAACGCTAAAGTTAGCCCTCTAATTGCTTCCGTTCCCTGTTGGGGGAAAACAAAAACAAATCTAATTCAAGCAGAGCCATGACTATCTATGAACGAACTACAAATGCAGCGCATACAATGCATTAGATGTGGGATATGCATATGCTTCTGTTTATTCACATACATTCAACATAACATTTTTATTGGGATTTGGGAAAGCACTTACAGATTCGTCTCTTAACACGCTTGTTACGTCTTCATGATGCCATAATCGACTACGTTTTCCAGGTTCCATAGCACATTCTGCCCTCACAATTTCTCTTCCCATGTCTCGAATCAAATCATGCATCCTAATGAATCCTCCTGAATCAAAATCTAGAAGACATCGATCTTGAATGGTTTTGAATTCTGATTCTACAGAAAAGCGACTGCAACTATCCAATATTGCCACGACTTCAGTTCCAACCCAGTTAATAAAGAAATGAGATATGTCAAGGAACACACCTTTCACATGATCATCACTTAGCCCATCATAGCTTAATCTAAGTGTTTCATGAATTTTTCCATGTGGAAGATTTCTCAATTTATCCAATGTACTTCTCCATATGCTTTTACTCTTTTTCATAGCCAACAAACGGCCAATGGCTTTAAGAGCTAGCGGCAATCCTCCACAATAATCAACAACATCTGTTGCGAGTTCAATATATTCTTTATCAGGACAATGATTTCCAAACGCATGCCAACTAAGGAGCTTAAGAGCTTCTTCATCCGTCATTGTTTGTGCCTTATATTTTTTATCCACCTTCTGTATATTCAGCACTTGTTCATCTCTTGTTATCAAAATAATCCTACTTCCTGGACCAAACGAGTGATGTTCTATCGCCAATTCATCTAATTGGTCCGCATCATCTATGTCATCAACTACGATGAGTACCTTCATGCTTCCAAGTCTTTTCTCTATTTCCTTGGTCCCTTCGGCAACACTACTTATTTTAATGTCAGGCCGTTTCAAAATATCTCGAAGAAGTTGTTCTTGCAGACTAACCATATTTTTCTTTTTACTCCTCACCTCTTCAAGGTAACATTGACCACGGAAACTATGATGGTATGTGCTATAAATGGCTCTCGCAAGCGTTGTTTTACCTATGCCGCCCATACCCCAAATTCCAATTATTTGAACATCATGTGAACCTCCAACATCTAAGTATTTAGTACTGAATTCTTCCACGCGAAAAGCTATTCCAACTGAGTGCTTGGCTTCTTTTAAGTCGCTGGTTTTTAGTAGTCCGATGATGTCACCAACAACTTTATGGATAAATACTCCTTCACGCCTGCCAATTGGAAATCCAAATTATGCAAACAGATGACTAATCATGCAACAGCATGATTCATATGAACTAAATGCCTTATGCATCACGACATGGCTGATTAGTGAGTATCCCAAAAGCTAATTGTACAAGATGCGATTAAATTTTGTAAAAGAGGAAATTTGAAATGATACCTGTCTGCAGTGGTTTTAAGATCCTGGCCAACCAAATCTGCAGAAGCCTTAAGATCCTTTCTCCACTGCTCGACCTCATTTGGGTCTTCATCCCTTTCATGCTTCTGAAATGCTTCCCCAAAACTACCACTCTGTTTCCTCACTTCAGAAGGGTCAACGTCGTAGAATATTGGATAGACTACTTTCCCCTCTTGAACTTCTCGGCACCTCATGATCATCGACAGCTCCCTCAGGCAATATCGGGACTCCGCGTAACTCTTTGAGAAGACGACGACCGCGATCCTCGACCCTTCGATTTCTCGGTCAAGTTCTCTTTGTATATTCTCCCCCTTTTTGAGGTCGTAGTCTATAAACGTGTTGATTCCGGCACTGCTTAACGCAAGGGAGAGGTGGTCTGTGAACCCAGTGCGTGTGTCCTCGCCTCTAAAGCTCAGGAACACCTCGTACTTCCAGCGGTTTGAACGCCGAGAGGAAGACGAACCGGCGGCAGCGGCGGTTGCAAGGGCGAGGCTGCTGGTATTCATTGATTTCAAGCAAAGAAGTGAAACCCCTGATCGTTTCCCAAGATTCCCCAGCGAAACTCCTGATTATTGTTTTGGATCGCTGGAAGATGTGAGAGCAAAAAATAATGAAGAAAGAAGAGGGAGAGAAGATTCCAGATGCGGCTGAGTAAGAATGAAACTTTGGGCTTGAAATTTGCTATGGTTTGTAGTAAGAAGGCTTTTCTTAACATGGGCTTCAAATTTGGGCTTGAAATTGGCTAAGAAAATAAATACCTATCATAAATAAATAAATAAAATTAATACATATATTCGGTTCGATTTCATCATCATTGAAACCGAAACCAAACCACATGATTTCGGTTTGGTTTTTTTTTTTCGGTTTGTTATTTAAGTTTATGTTCGGTGTATCGTTCAGGTTTATTTTTTTCGATTTTTTGAACCCACCTTTAGTACATGACCTTATTCTATTTTAAAGGTGGTGCACAGGTTGGTTTTGATGTTGGTGGCCGTCATGGGTTTATGAACAAACATGACAAGGTTGAATTGGACATGGCTCATGTTTGTGGGTTTTGCATTGATTGAATTGTATTTTAAATGTGAGCCAAAGTTTGGGGATCAATGCTCCAATTAGGACAAAGTCTAAGGACTAATTCAAACGTTAACAAAACATAATAATAGTAATATGTCACTTATGCGATATGTTAACATTAAAATCTGATCATAATGATTCACAAGTAACGAATTTATAGTCACGTGACGTTTTAATATTGTATGTATAATTTGTTGTGAGACGTCACACGAGGAAGACCCCTTCAGTATAAGAGCTTTGCAAAGGAAAAGGATTCTCACCGGATCTTTTTTTTGAGGATCCTAGGGATTCCGTGATCGTGATCGTTCATCGTACATCGTACATCGTGCGATCAGAAATCATTTCAAAATTTAAAATTTAAAACTAAATATAAATAATATCTACCAAAAATTGATCGTACCATGAACAGGATGCTTAGGATTTCCAGAAAAAAAGATCCGGCCTTTGCAAAACCTTTAGCATAGAATGGAAAAATGACCAACCAATGTCGGAGATGATTTGTTGGAACTAAATACACTATAAAATAGTTAAAGGTAGTACGCTAGTGCATGCTACTGCTTTTTACAAAATGGGCGGTGGATAGAGAATGAGAGCCTGGGGACCCTAATGAGCTTGACCACTGGTTTGTTAGATGGCTGAGAATCAACATCTCTTTTTCTGTGACTTGAAGCACAATTAGGTTTGATATAAGTTAATGCAAGAAATATGGGAAATTCAAAAGATTCTTACTATATCAAAGAAATAACATATCAGTCATGAGTTGAACGTTATTTTATATTAGTCACTGAAGGATTAGTTATTTTATATTAGTCACTGAAGGATTAGCCATCGTCATCGTTAATGACATCGTCAAACACGTATGGTAATAGTATGATCATCAGACTCTATATAGTACACACTCATAATGCACCTTATTCACACCTAAACGAAAAAATTATAGGAAAACAAAAATTGGTAGAAAGTGAGAGAATTAGTGCATAGAGAGAATTAATGAAAAAAGAAAAGAGTGGTGTTTTCGGAGAATGATTATATGTTCTCTCTGTTCACATAACTGTGAATTATACATTTTAAGTGATTTATGTATTTGCTAAATGGTTTAAATTCATCGTACTCTTTTTATCTCCTCAAGTGAAACAAAACAAAGATAGACTCGTAATTCATAAAATTGGAATCTTAATTTGATAAAATGTGGAGCATTTGTCCTTTACATATTCATAACAAACGAAGCATGTAACATGTGTTTCACTTGCTTAATTTAACGGAAGTTCTCATGTAAATGCTATGCATTTTATAAAACGAAGCATGTACCATAATTGACTTTTTAATATAAAAATACAATTTTTCGTAAAGATAAACAGTGTCAGAAACTTTTCATTAAAATTCCTGTATAAAATTCTGATACAATTCTATACATCTCGTCAAAGAGAGATAAAAACACGCCACACAAGTGGAAAACACGAAGAAAACCGACTTGATTGGATTCGACACAGCCAACTTACAGCCACAAGTGTGACTACCAACGAAACCCGATCTGGTTTTATGAGATTGTGAGATTCTTTTGGGGTAACCAAGTGAGTCTTCTGCATGAAAAGGAGGGAAGTCCTTGCTAATCTGCTTGCATCATGTAACAGCGCGAAATCAGTGGCGCAATTGCACTCTCAAACCCTCAAAGCCGGCCTTTCCCAGGACAGCTTCTTTGCCACAAAACTCAACGCTCTGTACGCAAAATATGAGTCCCTCGGTCATGCCCGCAAGGTGTTCGACGAAACGCTCCACAGAACTGTCTATCTCTGGAATGCCATGCTCAGGAGCTACTGTAGAGAGGACCGATGGGAGGAGACCTTGTGTCTATTTCGTAGCATGATGTCTGAGTCAAGAGGTAATGATGAAAAGCCTGATAATTTCACCATTCCCATTGCTCTGAAGGCGTGTGCGAGGTTAAGGGCGCTAGCGTGTGGAAAAATAATACATGGGTTTGTGAAGAAACATGAGAAGGTTGCATTGGATATGTTTGTAGGTTCTGCATTGATTGAATTGTATTCCAAATGCGGACAAATGGGCGAGGCTGTGAAAGTGTTTGACGAGTTTTTGCACCCGGATGTGTTTTTGTGGACTTCTATGGTTACTGGATATGAGCAGAATGGTGATCCTGAAGAAGCATTGGAGTTTTTCTCCCGAATGGTAATGGTGGGGTGCATTAATCCTGACCAAGTGACGCTTGTTAGTGCTGTTTCGGCTTGTGCTCAGTTATCAAATTTTAGAATTGGAAGTTGTGTGCATGGTGTTTCTATTAGGAACGGGTTCAACTCTGATTTATCTTTAGGTAATGCATTGCTAAATCTCTATGCAAAGACGGGTTCTGTCAAAACTGCCGCTAGGTTGTTCATGAAGATGCTGGAAAAAGATGTGGTTTCTTGGAGCTCCATGATTGCCTGTTACACTCATAATGGGGATGTAACAGAAGCGTTAAATCTTTTCAACAAAATGATTGATACGAGAATCGAACCTAATTCAGTGACTCTGGTAAGTGCATTACAAGCATGTGCATTGGCAGGTAATTTAGAAGAAGGTAAGAAGATCCACAAAATTGCTACTAGGAAGTGTTTTGAGTTAGATATCAAGGTAGCTACAGCCTTGATTGATATGTACATGAAGTGCTCTGCACCCGAAAAAGCAGGTGATCTCTTCAATAGAATGCCAGAGAAAGATGTGGTTTCGTGGGCTGCCTTGTTGAGCGGGTACGCTCATAACGGAATGGCATACAAGTCAATTGGGGTCTTTCGCGACATGCTATCAGACGAAACTAAGCCTGATGCCGTTGCTATGGTCAAGCTTCTTGCAGCTTGTTCGGAATTAGGGATTCTTCAACAAGCTCTCTGCCTCCATGCTTATGTGATTAAACGTGCCTTCAAGAATAACATCTTTGTTGGAGCTTCACTCATAGAGTTATACTCGAAATGCGGCAGCATAGACAATGCTGTCCTATTATTTGAAGGGATAACAGACAAAGATGTCGTTATCTGGAGCGCGATGATTGCAGGTTATGGAGTTCATGGACAAGGAGAAGAAGCTTTAAAGGTATTTGATCGGATGGTGAAGCACTCAGATGTCAAGCCTAATGATGTAACATTTCTCTCGATTTTATCTGCGTGTAGCCATTCGGGTTTGGTTGAAGAAGGCATTGAGATATTCAACACCATGTTGCCTGAATACCAACTTAAGCCCAGACCTGAGCACTACGGGATAATTGTTGATCTTCTTGGCCGGACAGGAGAGCTGGACAAGGCAATGGAAATCGTTGAGACAATGCCCAATCCAACTGCACCTCATGTTTGGGGAGCCTTTCTTGGTGCATGCCGGATTCATAACAACACAAAACTTGGAGAGGTTGCAGCAAAGAGTCTTTTTCGGTTGGATCCTAATCATGCAGGATATTACATCCTGCTCTCGAATATATATGCCATGGATAACAAATGGGAAAATGTGACAAATCTTAGAACTTTGATAAAGGAGAAGGGGTTAAAGAAGGTGTCCGGGCAGAGCATTGTCGAGGTGGGGAATGACATATGTAGTTTTGTTGCCGGAGATAGATTGCACCTTGATTCCGATCAGATTTATGGAGTGCTAGGAAAATTAGAGGTGAAAATGAGAGAGGAAGGTTATGTTCCCAATGTCGATCTCCTGCTACAAAACATGGCGGATGCTGTCTAGATTAGAAGTGTTGAGAAATTTCTTGTAGGGAAAGTTTCGACTCACATGAAAGGCGTAATGATATGGACATACTTTAGGACTGTGATGTTTTTTCTATCAAATTACTTACATCAATTTCATGAAAAAATGCAGTAATTACTTGTATCAATGAGCAGTGGCTTCTTTTCCAGAAGCAAGGACAAATTCTACATACAGATTCTTGAAGGCAATCATCACTGTCATCAGCAGAGGACCCATAATCGCTCCCTGTAATTTGATCGGAAAAACGCAATTCAAACGCCATTTAGACCGCTCTAATTAACATAAATGCAAGCATTAATTCACAAGAATAAGGTTTAGAGAGGAAAATTACTTCCAACATGGAGGGGAAAAGAGCAATGCCCCCAAGTATGCTGAGGCCAGTGAGGTAGGCGTTCTGTCCCGGAATCTCATCTTGGATAGCTGCTGTGCCGTATTCCAACAGAATCTGATGAACCGCCGTCACCAAAACTGCCTTGACATATCTCCCTTCCATGGCCAGCTGCAGCGCAGCCGGAATGGACAAGAACCAAGCCGGTGTAATTTGCAAAACAGCGCTCATAAGAGCGAGGGATGTAGACATGTAGAGGAAATGAATCTGGTAGAATCGAAACAAGAGATACGTAAGGCTCCCTTGAAAGAATGTGACCTTGGCAGCAGCCAACAGCACGCTGCTGACAGCGTGATCAAGCACTTGAGCACACCGAACCCTTGTGGATTTCGAAAGGGGCAGCATTCCCAGGACATGATCCATAACGCCGCCTGAATCAGTTGTGATTAGGTAGTACAAAAGCCAGAAGAACACCGTCAATTCGAAGAAGAAATTGAACAATCCTGCAGCCCCTGAAACGAGCGAGACCGCCATGAAAAACAACAGATTTGCTCCTCCGGCCACAACCGTTGTTCCGCTAGCGAGTACTCTTCTGGAGAGGTCTAAACCCTGCAGCAAGAAATCTTTCGTTTTCTCCGCCAAGTCTTCCCTTGCGATCAATGACATGAATTCTCCAAACAAGCCATCGATATCTCTATAGATCACTCCCCATTCTCCGTTCCTCACCCGGGATTGAATGCCATGAAACTTCTCTGAAAAATTAGGCTGACCGTCACCATTAGTACTAATACTACTCGAAAAATTGAGGCCCGATTCATTACTATTCGACATGGGATTATGAATCTGATCGTGATTAGTACTCAAGTAATGCCTAACACTGTCAACAACCTCCGTCACATTGTAATGCGCCGCCAGAGAATCGATGTTCTGCGAAACAGTTTCGAAGAACTTGGTGGCGTAATCATCGATCAATTCCGGAACCTGATTCGCATTCATCCATTTCTTGAATCCGACCCTCTCGGCGTAATCGTAATTCATCTCTTCCAAATGTGCTTTGAGTGAAATCACAGCCCCCTTCCCTTCCATTGCGATCTTATACGAAAAGAAAAAGAATCCCAACACAGATCCCACGATCATCACCGTGATCAGGCCAATCGCCACCGCCGTCTTCAACCTGTTGAGCATCATGCTCGTAATGCACCGGCTGATTTTCCCGCCAAAATTAGCAGGGGAGTTACTATTGCTGTTAATATTCATGGTATTTTTGAATTTTAATCTGCCGCTGCGGCGAACAGAGGAGATGGCAGAGAGAGTGGTGGCGACGCCCCGATCAATCAGAATGCTTCTGTAACCGAGAGAGTAGGCGATGAAGCAAGCCGCGGCAAAAGCCGGGATGGAGATAATGCCTATGCTCTCGTATACGATGACGAAGAGAGCGAAAGAGATGAGCCATTGGACGAGCTTAGAGAATCTGATCTGCCTCTTTCTGCGGTTGGGGCGGCCGCGGAGAAGGCAGCACTGGATGGCGGTGTGGGAATCGACGAGGGAGGCGGTGGTGGCGCGGAGGGCGGCGATCGGGATGGCAATGAGCGTTTCGAAGAGGCCGAGGTTGAGGGAGTGGGACCAGAAGGAGACGAGGGCGGTGTGGAGCTCGCGGAGAGGCATCGAGCAGAGGATCGCCCAGTGGATCGGCCGCCAGTAGCCTTGGAGGAGCTTCGTGACGCCGTAGAGGAGGGCCAGCGAGAAGGCGAGGCCCGCGTGGGCCATCGCCACGTACATCGCGATCCGAACGTGAGGGTCATCGATCGGCAATGGCGACGACGGTGATGGTTCGGTTTGGGGTTTGGGTTCGGGTTCGGGTGCGGCTGGTGGTGGAGGGTGGGAGGATTCGGGTTCCGAATGCGGGTCGGGATCGGGATTATCGAGGATGGGGTGAGTGTTTTTCTGCTTGCGGCGTTGGCGGCGGTGGCAATTGAGGTTTGTGCGAGGAGGAGGAGGATTAATCGGATGATTAGAGGTTGATGGCATTGGTAATCTTGATTAAGGGAGGAAGGTTAGGGTGATTAGCCATGTGTTTAATTTTTAATTTTAATTAAGGAGGAGATTAATGGGGAGAATTCGGACAGTCTCTTGTTTCCTGGTCGCTACAAGTGTTCAGCTTCCCGCGATAAGGCGCAAAGAGCTTCATATGTTTGAAAAAAAAAAAAAGTTAAAAAACAAAAATAAAATGAAATCAAAATTAATTGGTTCTGAGTTTGAAAAATAATTAAATGACCAAAATCCCCATTGAATCAAATTTTGTTATCCACATTTTGCGATTAACATATTTTTTAAGTACAAATTTTAATATCGTTTATTTTTTAAAATTATTATTTGAAGATCTTTTTTATAAAAATTCGATAAAGTTGGACATTGTTAACTCATATATGGATCAAATAAGTCCACGATTCAACATTAATATGTTACTTGATATTAAAATTGTCTAGATGTTCAACATAATTGATCCATATAAATTACTAAATATCTCACATTTGAGTAATTTTTTCTAAATATTTTTTAAGCTGATGAAAAATAAACGATTTATATTGTAAAATTATACAATACATTATCCTAAAGAATAGACAAATGGTACAAGTGACATACAGCTTTTTTAGTGCATAAAATTTCGTCCCCAAAATTTAAAATAACTTGTGGTAATTAAGATACTCGAAAACAGGGAGGAACATATTTATATAAATATAAGAAAGAAATCAAGTTAGAGCGGTTGCATAAAAGAGAATGTCATTCCGTCACGATCGGATTGCAATTATTCCTCTTTCATGCCTCCACGCTCATACCTTCTTCCTTCCTCAATAACATAGTAGTATGATACTCGTATAACCCATAAGGTTGAAAATACCAATTATTATGTAATAACATAAGGAAATACTTGTATTGAGTTTAAAACCAAGAGTGGAAATAACTCACCCAAAATTTGTAATGGCAAAAATAAAGTAAAATTTTTGCACGAAACATCACAACAAAACATGATACAATATGCTACATATCACTATATAATTCAATAAACACTTGAAAAAAAAAAAAAAACTTTTCTCTAATTATATAATATGGTATATCCCTCATGGTACAGATACACTGCAAAAATATCACAACTAACACAATAAATGCAAATATTCTCTTACTTAGAGCAAAAATTAGAATAAACATAAAAGTTCGTGCGTTGCCTTAAAAGTAAATATAAATTCCGCCATATAGCGGGAAAGCAAAAGCAAAAGCAAAAGCAAAAACATTATCAATTCAATTTGTTTCACTGCCACAGTGCCACTTTAGAAAAATAAAAATATATACTATTATATGCTACTATTTACAAATTTCTTGCGTAATTTGAATGAAAATCGAATCTAATCATGCATTCTTAGTGGCAGACATTTTTTTAAAGAAAAAAGAAATATCATTGCTTTTCTGCTATTCTGTATGTTTTTAATGAAAATGACAAAATAAATGTGTAAGTGAATAGTATTAGGAGTGATTTTTCAAAGTAAAAATGTCTTTAGCGTTAAAAGTAAACAGTACCAGAAATGTTTCATTATTATTTCCTTTTTTTTAAGGGTCATGTTCTCTTTTCTACTAAAAAAAAAGAGAAATGCTAAGGAGACTAATAGGATTCTCTATAGATTTACGTCACCTCACATTTTAATGTTAATTTTCATATTAACATTATAAAATATTATGCAAAAGATATAAGGTGATAGACAATTTATGAAGAGTTTCACTTTTGAAAGAGTCCCAGTAACATTTATCGAAAAGAAAAGTAAAGATAAAGAAGAGTAACATTTGTATATACTATATCCAAATGAACTACTTTATTATATAGACGTCCTTGGATTACAAATCCCCAACCATATCATAAGAGTACTTGGGGTATGAATATTACTTCATTTGAATCCGTTTTAGTGATCAATATCAATTCACCATAAAACCCTAAAAAATAATAAAAAGACATGTAATCACTAAACAATATCGTAAAGTTGCATGTCTTCAGAGAACCACGTCATCCGTACGCCCACACATAACTAGTGTTATAATCAATAAAAGCAAGTTCGTTATAAACCCCAATGCACGAGAGTCCTCTTTAATCACATGCGTGATATACAGATGACGTGGTGCCCTAACCAGACATCAAAATTTCTCTCATTTTTCTCTACTTTATGCCAAAGAAGGTGTTCATTGGTCAAAAATTCCTATTGGCCAAAAAAGAAGGATAATAACTAATTTACTTTGCCCAAAAAGGTGACGCCGTTTGCCTCAAATAAAAGGAAAGTTAAAGATTCATCCTCAAGGAATCGTTTTTTAGCATTTCCAAATCAGAAACACTCTGAAAAATAAAGGAAAGAAAGAAAGAAAGGGTGACCAAAAAAGAATTGTTGAGTTTGCTTCTAACTGAAACAATGGATTCGCACAGCCCCAATTAATACCACTTCTTGAAGCAACCAATCCCCCCAATCCCCAATGCCAAATTATTAACCTACCTAGTTGGTGAGAAACTGGTGCTTTCCTGCTTGCTCTGATCATGGAGGAGCTGGTGCTGCAAAACCTGTTTTCCGGCGACCGGGCGGCGCAGATTGAAGCGGCGACGGAGCTGGGTAAGCTGAAGAGCAAGCAGAGGCACAAGTTGGCAGAGAGGGGCGTTATGGTTCCGTTGATTTCGATGCTGCATTCGGAGGATGCCGAAGCCATTGAAGCTTCTCTGTTTTCTCTACTTAGTCTTGCCTTTGGTAGTGAAAGGTTAGTCCATATGCTGTATAAATCCTACAACGTCACTGTTGCGCCAAGTCTTCGATAACTCCAAGCATTTCATATTTTTTCTTAAAGTCTCATGGATCGAAAAATTTGTGAAAAAGTCTAAAACTTTTCTCTGTTATGTATGATTTTTACTGGGGACTCTTCCTTGTGCTGTAAGATTGAATTTTTCCTTTACTTTTCTAACTTTGCAGAAACAAGAGTAGAATTGTGAAGTCCGGGGCTTTACCGGCGTTGCTAAACCTGCTCCGCTGCGAAAGCAAGGCGGTGATCGAGCTCACGATAGCGGCTTTTTTGATCCTTTCGTCTTGCAAGGGAAACAAGCTACCGATTGCATCGTCCGGGGCCATCCAACTAATAGTTGAACTTCTCAATCAAGACTATGCTGAAGGCATCAGCCTGCAAGCCAGACTCGACGGCATAGCCACACTACACAACCTCTCGACCTGCCATCAGATTATTCCGTCATTGGTTTCTTCCGGCGTGGTGTTTTCGTTGCAACAAACATTCCACAGCTTGGAAAAATCAAACCAACTGGTTGAGAAGGCAATCGCGCTACTTGACGACATTGTTTCTTCATCCGAGACTGCGCTCGAGGAAACTGCAGGTACGTGCGGCACAATCCGGGCACTGGTTGAGACAATTGAAGAGGGATCGACGAAATCCAAGGAGCACGCAGCGAGAATCCTCCTGCTTATATGCCAGAGCTGCAGAGAAAAGTACAGAGGACTGATACTGAGGGAAGGAGCAATGCCGGGACTGCTTCAGCTGAGCGGCGATGGGTCGTGGACGGCTAAAACCACGGCACGGGAGTTGCTGTTTCTTTTGAGAGACTGTTCCAACTATGGTTCGAGAAACAAGCAGTCGAGGAACATGGTTATAGAGCAGATTATGGAGGAAATCGATGCCGAAGGAGAGAGAGTTGCGGGGACAAGTACATCGGCACAGAGGCTGGTGGAGGAGATGCTTGCAAAGATCAGCATCGGACGTTGATCGCGACCAAACCCTGAGCTTTGCCGTTAGCGATGTAAATATAGCCGGAAAAAATAGTTCCAACCAGATTAAGATGTTAACATATAGTCGTTTATCTCGTTTCTTAAAATTTAACAGAAAATTTGACATAATTGACGGTTGAATTAAAAGTCTAGCAGGCAAATCGAAAAGAATCACAAGAACATAGAAAATACCGCATCAACATTTAGCAAGCAGTTTCATACAAATCTCCCACTGTTAAGACAAAACCATTCAACAGTATATTGGAACAACGAATTTCAGTTGTGTAAGCAATCTACGGAAAAGAACAGTGAATATTTTTGTTACTATATATGGCTTAGCTTCGGGGATTCATCCCACCTTCCGAAAAAGCACGTATAGTGTACATTCTCCTTTCATATAAGAGAATGGCTCGGAGGATTATTTAACTGACGTTTATAACATCTTTCTACAAGAAAATAGGGCCTCTATGCCGGTGGCAAAACCCGACAAGGATTAGAGTACGTTTCAGCCTGACCTTCTATAAAAGCTGTAGGCCACAGCCACTGTTGCCACTGCTCCAACCACCGCAGCAGCTGCAAGAACATCACTTTGCTCCCATTTCCCGATCAAGCTTGACAGCTTCCCCGAGGCATCCCTCCTGGCACACGCCTTTGTGGTCTCTTTCAGCTTCTTTTCCTCACTTCCACCTTTTTGCTCCAAACTTACTTCTTGGCAGCATGTAAATCCATTACTATCAGCACCCTGGCAACAGCCTGAAAAGTTCTCATTACTCTGAATCTGATTGACGTTTTCTTGGTGAGTTTGGTTGCCATTTTCTTGGGGCTTCTCCTTGATTTTCTTACTTTCTCCTCCATTTGGAAGCTTCTGGCCATTAATTTTTTCAGCTTCATCAGAAGATGCACCCATTTGGCCCCTGTAAGGAATGAAATTGAATTTCAAGTTCAGCTATTTAAAGATTCAATTCTAAGCTTCGTTAATAGCAATTAAGTAACGCAGTTATATCCAATTGGCACCAATTGACTAGATCTGCTTTGCTTTCTCCATCTCTGTCCAGTGCCTACTTGACCCCATCTCCCCTTCTCGAAAATCACCTCTGGTTTGGTTTATCAATAAAAAGAAAGTTGTCTGATTTGGTTCACCGAGATGAACTAGCTATCAACTATTCATCCCATGAAGGTAACACACCTCGACAGAAAGAAAAACGTTACCATTTCCTTGCATATGAGAATCTAAACAAAATGCACTCATCCTATGAAATAGAAATAAGAACAAATGTTTCCTTGACTGTTTGTTTTTAAACGTGCGGTGATGATACTTCCGACAAGTTCACTTACCTAAATTTCCTTACGATTCTAATCATCGCAGAATCAGTAACATGATAGTCAAATGTTATATACCTAATACCCAGAGGAATTCTATGCTCCATAAAAGTTCCTCCATGTTAACGTAACTCTATATCGCTAATTTATCATACAAGACTAGAAATAATCAGCCATAGAAAATATAACAGAAGCTTCAGTTTCAGTGAAATTTTCATCGGAGGCAGTAGGCAAAATTAAAAACACACAAACCTCCAAAGTCGCTCTATGATCTCTCCCTTCCCAATATGCTGATCAAGCAATTCTGGCACATCATCAGGAGTGACGTAGCCATACCTGCAATTCATAGTACAGACTACTCAAATTCCTTCATCCAGTCCAATATGATAAATTTTAAACTGTTATGATCCGGATATTACCAATGGCCTGTTATGCTTCCATCTGAACCTGGGCTGTAAATAATCAAGTTTCCAGCATACTTGTGGCCTCCAATGTGAGAGCAAGGAATAACAAACACCTGATTCGACAGTCCTCGCAACTCAGTCTCCTCTTTGAACTTATCAATCAGAACAGGTCCACAAACACCACACCTTTTATCTCGACTACCATGTGCACATACAAATACATGGGAGCCAGTCAAGGCCTCTTGCACTCCAGAAGCCCATGGTTTATCATTCACAAGGACATCGTCAACAAAGTTGTCCACATCCGACTCTTTCAAGCCCCTTTGATCAAGAAACAAAAGCAACCTCTGAATCACAAAAAGGAATTTACAGGAAACAATAACGAAAAACTCTTCAATTCCTTGTAAGACAAGGAATTAGTCATAAACTTAGCATTAAATTCAATTTCTAGAACTAATTTCAGAAGCTGATACATCTAATTATCTATTTAGTTCAGTAAATTCAGCACAATTTCGTAATCAAAAGAAAAGTCGAAACAGAAATAAAACACTAAATTCCATGAAAAATCTTCAAAACACAGTAAATTAGGTCGATTTGAGACTTGAAATCGGAAAATCATAAACTCTATCTCTAGCTAGCAATCATCGAATCTCCAAGTCAAATAAAGCAAATCTGAAGAATCAAAACACCACTCACTGGTTAATTATCTCAATCCTATAAATTCCGATTCAAATTAAAGCAACTACAGAACAAAAACCTCAAGAAATCAACGTGAATTTACTTGTATTTGATCATTTGTGGGAAAATCAACACATCACCGTCGGAAAACTCAGTTCCTTCGCGTCCTTCAATTACTGTCAGCAACGTCTATCAAAAACAAAGAAACAAAGTGAGTAACGGAGTCAACTCAGCTCAACACCAGAACTCAGCATCTCCAGGAAATAAGAAACGGCAAGAAAAAAGGATCAGAAACGCCGACGAAATGAGCTGGAAAACGGACCTTAAAGGCGATGTCGTTCTTGCGAGCTTTGAGAGCGGAGGCGAAGAACTTAGGGAGCGGATCGGACTCAGAGCCTTCGACGCGCGACGGCCAGGCCTCGGGACTCTTGTAGCAGAGGAAGACGTGGCGGTCGTAGGCGTTGACGGTGCCGGCAAGCTTTTCCTTGAACATCTCCGATCTCTTGAAACCATACGTCTCGTCTTCTGCGGCGGGAACGGCGGCGGCGAGGTCGTCGGAGGCCATTGCTACAGTTCGAGGAGGTGGAGGCGGAGGAGGAAGGGGTTTAGAGAGGGTTGAAGTCGAAGGAGTAGAGAGGGAAAAGATGAGAGAGAAAGAGCGTTGTTGTTTGGTTGTTGGTGTTGATAATATGAGGAGGCTGAGGAGGGAACGGTGGTGTCGGTATGGGCGTAGGTGCGCAGTGCGGTATGGGTGTAGGTGCGCAGTGCGCATACGGTTCACGATGGGATTTCTGAAGATCGGGATCGGGACGTGTGGGACTGGACGGTGATAGGGAGTGGGGTACTGTGCTTGGCGATCAAGCGCGTGATATGGTGTATGAGAGCGTGTGCACAACTCGCTTCAATAGCAATTGTTGCTGAATTTTAGGTCTCAATTAAAAATGCAATAAATAGTCAAAAAGCCGTATACGATACGAGTCACTTTTTTAATAAGCCGTATTCAAGTGATTGTCGCTAACACATTTCAATTATTAAGAAAAATTTGTAAAAAATGGTACTTCATCCCATCAAAACGTGCAATTATGGTCATTTAAGTTATTTTCGTCAAAATGAGTTATGTTGGAATGACATTGCTACAATTAGGTTAAAGTTAGGGCACTATTGTCTTAGTTGGGCTAAAATTGAGGAATCATTTTTCTAAATGAGTTAATGTTGAGAAACTATTGCTACAATTATTTTCATTTAGTTTTTCATATTTGCCCCTTGATTCAGCTTTGTGTGCGTTGCACGTGACTCATTTTGAATAAAGTTCCAACAGAATTGATGAAAATGACTAATTATTGTTTTGATGAGTTAAGGGACAAGTGGTTCAGATGAAGGACCATTACTCGAATTGAATTAAAGTTGAGGGATCATTAGTACAATTTCTTCGGTGATTAACTATTGTTTGAGAGACCCCCTACAACGGTTTGTAACTTTTATCAATTTAAAATGAGGTTGTTTTAAATAAATAATTTGTTATGCCAGACCTGCCACTATTGACACATACCAACATAAATATTAAATAGTAATATATATATAAAGGGAGAAGACAAAAATGATGAATCTAACACCTAAATTACCCCTCTCACATTAAGATTTCAAAAAATAAGAAACAAAATTCACAAAAAATAAACTCATGTAGTGAAGCTGTGAGTGGTTACGTTCATTATTTTTGAAACACAACTAACAAAAAATAATAAATAAAAAAATAAAAAGAACCAATTGCAGAATGCTAATTTTATTCGAAAGTAAACTTGATCTATAGACCTTTAAACTTCCCATTTGATTTGTTGTTGATGTATATTCCTCCTTTTAATCTCTCCGAGATTATATAAAAAGGAGCTAAAAGATATTTCGTGCACGCAAAAATGGAAGGTCCTACAAACGGAGGAGGACCCACTCTCTGCACCCGGGGGAGTGGGGTACAAGCGCGTCGGTCTAAATCATCCAACGGTGCACCAATTATATTTTTGTGATTCCCGGCTGCCCGTAGATTCCTTGGTGACGTGGCGACCAGCAGTTGGGCCTTCACATTCTGTCATGAACCAGCCCGGTCATTCCGTTGATTAAGTCAAGCCTTTTGCCCAACGGGGACAACTTCTAATTGTTTCTTTTATTTATTTCTTGAGGACGACTTTTAATACTCGATTTAATTTGTTTATTTGGTGAACTAATATTCAATTTAATTTGTCAATGCAATGACGTTTTTATTTTGATTTTTCACGTTTGAGTTTTAAATGCTTAGGGTCATGTCTCAATTTAGTGGGATAAAGTCCAAGCAAGGCGTGAGTAGAAAGGTAAAGGAAAATACATGAGAAAATATGTGATCGGGATTGGGTTGTGGAGAAATTTTTACCCTCCGATAAGATCCAAAGCTTGTTCCGAAGGTTCCACTTCGCTTTAAAGGATTCTAGAAAGCCCTACTCGAGCCGTAATATATTATATTATTCTTGTGATGTCTTTCAATTAAATAAAATAATAAACCTAGCATATATATGGGTCAGTCTCCTATCCTTGCCGTTGTTGACCTCTCTTCTGTTATTTTCAACAATAAATAAATAAAATATAGGGGATGGTCGACATTTAAATAAGGGATTGTAAAGAATGTATAATGTGTAGAAATCATTTAAATAAAATATATTATTCTTGTGATGTCTTTCAATTAAAGCAAAGAGACGTGTAGAAATCATTTCCGTTAAATAATGTGTAAGATTTAATCCATGTTATATCTTCGTGTTTTCTTTTTTGACAAACAGTAATATTAGTGAGTTAAATTGTTACATGTTAGTCGAACCCCCGCACCAGGATGCATAGGCATTATAACTTTCCTCTAATAAAGCAACATCTGCCTTCGTGCAGTTTCTCTTCCAATTATTTATGCTGAGAGCAAGGAAATAGTATTAGCAGTG